TATTTTATGTATATTTTGTACGTTATGCTTGTTGCATTTTATGTATATTTTGTACGTTATGCTTGTTGCATTTTATGTATATTTTGTACGTTATGTTTGTTGCATTTTATGTATATTTTGTACGTTATGCTTGTTTTATTTTATGTATATTTTGTACGTTATGCTTGTTGCATTTTATGTATATTTTGTACGTTATGCTTGTTGCATTTTATGTATATTTTGTACGTTATGCTTGTTGCATTTTATGTATATTTTGTACGTTATGTTTGTTGCATTTTATGTATATTTTGTACGTTATGCTTGTTTTATTTATGTATATTTTGTACGTTATGTTTGTTTTATTTTATGTATATTTTGTACGTTATGCTTGTTTTAGTTTATGTATATTTTGTACGTTATGCTTGTTTTATTTTATGTATATTTTGTACGTTATGCTTGTTGCATTTTATGTATATTTTGTACGTTATGTTTGTTTTATTTTATGTATTTTTTACGTTATGTGTTTTATTTTATGTATATTTTGTACGTTATGCTTGTTTTATTTTATGTATATTTTGTACGTTATGCTTGTTGCATTTTATGTATATTTTGTACGTTATGTTTGTTGCATTTTATGTATATTTTGTACGTTATGCTTGTTGCATTTTATGTATATTTTGTACGTTATGCTTGTTTTATTTTATGTATATTTTGTACGTTATGCTTGTTTTATTTTATGTATATTTTGTACGTTATGCTTGTTTTATTTTATGTATATTTTGTACGTTATGCTTGTTTTATTTTATGTATATTTTGTACGTTATGCTTGTTGCATTTTATGTATATTTTGTACGTTATGTTTGTTGCATTTTATGTATATTTTGTACGTTATGCTTGTTTTATTTTATGTATATTTTGTACGTTATGCTTGTTTTATTTTATGTATATTTTGTACGTTATGCTTGTTGCATTTTATGTATATTTTGTACGTTATGTTTGTTTTATTTTATGTATATTTTGTACGTTATGTGTTTTATTTTATGTATATTTTGTACGTTATGCTTGTTTTATTTTATGTATATTTTGTACGTTATGTTTGTTGCATTTTATGTATATTTTGTACGTTATGCTTGTTGCATTTTATGTATATTTTGTACGTTATGTTTGTTGCATTTTATGTATATTTTGTACGTTATGCTTGTTGCATTTTATGTATATTTTGTACGTTATGCTTGTTTTATTTTATGTATATTTTGTACGTTATGCTTGTTTTATTTTATGTATTTTGTACGTTATGCTTGTTTTATTTTATGTATATTTTGTACGTTATGCTTGTTTTATTTTATGTATATTTTGTACGTTATGCTTGTTGCATTTTATGTATATTTTGTACGTTATGTTTGTTGCATTTTATGTATATTTTGTACGTTATGCTTGTTTTATTTTATGTATATTTTGTACGTTATGCTTGTTTTATTTTATGTATATTTTGTACGTTATGCTTGTTGCATTTTATGTATATTTTGTACGTTATGTTTGTTTTATTTTATGTATATTTTGTACGTTATGCTTGTTTTATTTTATGTATATTTTGTACGTTATGTTTGTTGCATTTTATGTATATTTTGTACGTTATGCTTGTTGCATTTATGTATATTTTGTACGTTATGTTTGTTGCATTTTATGTATATTTTGTACGTTATGCTTGTTTTATTTTATGTATATTTTGTACGTTATGTTTGTTTTATTTTATGTATATTTTGTACGTTATGTTTGTTTTATTTTATGTATATTTTGTACGTTATGCTTGTTTTATTTTATGTATATTTTGTACGTTATGTTTGTTGCATTTTATGTATATTTTGTAAGGTATGTTTGTTTTATTTTATGTATATTTTTTACGTTGTTTGTTGTATTTTTTGTTTGTTTTGTTGTTTTGTTGTGTTTCATGTAGAGTTTATTTTGTATCCAGGAAGAGTAGTAGGGGGATCGGACTAAATAGCAAAAACTTTCATAAGTTTTAATGAGGTAATTCTACTTCTTTGTGCAAGAACATCAGACAGAACATTTACTGACAGCAGCAGAGTTTTGTTAGAAAACAGAAACAGTCAGACGTCCTGCTGGCATGAATGAATAGACCCTCTGTTTGTCTTAATCCAACACACACACACTGAAACACACACGTCCTCCCTCTCACTTTCTCTCCACATTGCAATGTCAGCTGACTGTCAGAGAAAATAGACTTAGGTGTGTGTTTCAGTGTGTGCTTCTTTGTGTGCTACTGTGTGTGTTTGAGTGAGTGTGTGTTACAGTGTGTGTGTTTCTGTGTGTGTGGTGGTATGCAGGTCAGCTGTGTGTCACACTGGGGTTAGCTTCAGTCCAGTAGCATTAACATGAATCTGGATGCCTCAGGCCTGACTCTCTTATCTGTACTTTAACATGTTGGTCTCAATGAGCACGAGTCAAGTGTCTTAGCAGGTCGTCCTATTATCTCAGGGTCGGTGGTTTGATCCCCGGGTGCACCTGTCCAGGTGTCCAAGTGTCCTGATGCTCAGACCAGCAGCTTGTAGTTCGTCTGGACCCCGGACAGTCCATCTAGGCCGGACGCTTGTTTCCTGTCCAGCCTGTCTGTATTGTCTGCACCTTCATCTTGTTACACTGACACACTCACAACAAAGGAGCGTGTTAGCTTCGCTCATTAGCTTAGCATATCCTACTGTCTCTGTTGTGCAGCAGTTTAAACCTGGATGCAATCAACACAGCTAATAAACTCCAATAGCTTCCTTCATTTCACCTCGTCGATCGTTCTAAACTCTGGTGTGTCTCATTGTTTTTCACCACGACACAGTGAACAGTGAAACTGGATGATGTCAGCTTCACTAGAGCCTGCAAGTAAAACGATTCTGCCTTCTGAGTTAAAAACACAACTTTATTTAAATGTTCAATCCTACTGTGTGGATGAATAAATTAATCTCCAGTTAAACTCTATTAAATGAAAGATTACAAGTCGTGACTGATCCACAAAGGATCTGAAGCCCACTTTGGGTCTGGACCCAGCCGAGCGGCTGTACTCAGACACTACAAGAACAGTCCTCTACCACAGATCCTGCTTTTGTCTTGAGGACTACAAATCCAAACCCTGCTTCAAATGCTGTGAACCATTGACCTCGGAGGTCGGAGCTGGGAATGATTTCTCATGTCAAATGGAACACACCAAAAGCCTCCACCACCATCCCTAAAACCCCAAAAAACAGGGACCATAGAACTAAATGACCACAGACCCGTCACCCTGACCTGTGGTAATGAAGTCTTTTAAACGCCTTGTGTTGTCCCACCTTAAATCCATTACAGACCCACTCCTGGACCCCCTGCAGTTTGCCTTTCAGAGCCAACAGGTCTGTTCACTTCTTCCTCCAGCACCTGGACTCCCCTTGAACCTACGCCGGGATCCTGTTGGTGGATTTCAGCTCTGCTTTCAACACCATTATCCCGGCCCTGCTGCAGGACAAGCTCTCTCAGATGAACGTACGTACCTGACTCTACCTGCAGGTGGATCACTGACTTCCTGACAGACAGGAAGCAGCGTGTCTGACCATCTGGTGCAGCCAGTACAATCTGGTGCTCAACACTCTCTAAACAGTGCAGATGGTCGTAGGTCGCTCCCTCAACAAAAAAGCCCAGCAGAGGAGTTTAGTTTAGTCTGCAAAATTCAATGATGGTGCTGGTACCACGTATCATTCGCTCTGCAGAGAAGGTGATGTGCTGCAATATAACATCCCTCCTGGACCTGTACCCACAGGCACCCTCAGACACCCCACAAACCTCACACAAAAGGAACAGTTTCTTTCAGTCTGCAGCCTCATCTGCCTGAGACCCCCACTGACATGGATGACTCTCAACACCCCCCCCCCCCCATTTCAGTACAGCATGCATATTCTACACATTTTGCACATGTAAATCCAAAGTGTGTCCACGTGTTTGATCTGTACGCAGACGACACTGTCCTCTACATCAACAAATGTGACTTCAGTCTCACAACATCAAGCCACACACACAGGTAAACCAATGTAGTGTAGTGAACCGACAGTTTGGATTTGTGCATTTTATATTAAATAATTTTGGACTACTCAAATATTATTCCCCTCTCCCTGAGAGACGGAGGGGGGTTGAGATCAACTTTCAACAGACGGCTGAAGAGACTCCAACAGAAGGGGGTGGAAAGGTTGCTTTCCCTATGTGCTGTTCCTGAGCAGCCTGATCGTAAAACTGGCACCTTTGATTCTGCAGCCTGATAACTGATGACTGTTAAACTGACTAAAGGGACATTAACCAGCAGTTAACATTTCCCTGAACAGCCTATCAGAACTCTCCTTAAAAGGGGGCAAGAATCAGACACGGAGAACCTTGGAGAATCCCCTGGCAAAAAGCCAGGGATCGGGCAGCTAGCGTGGGACCCGTGCAACAGGCCAAAGGAGGCCGCCGACACAAGCAGTAAGACCAAAACAAAGTATTCTGTGTTCAGGGAGGTCCCATAGTGTTAATATTGTCTTTTAACTCATAGCTTACTTTCATTCGTTCTCCTCTGCCGTGGGAGTCAAATCCTCCCACAATCGAACCTCCATTCTCATTGTTTAGCCATTGTATATTTCTCTGATGTATTTAACCACCTTTTTATATCACCTTAGTTAATAAATTCACTATAACCAAGGAATTGTGTGTATTGCCTACTTCTGAGTCCCTGCCAAGAGAATTTACCCTTTAGATATGAGACTGACTGATTGATTTAAGATAATTGAGCGAATATTAACTATCTGATCACTGGTAAATAATTGTATAATTAATAAAAGCTACCTAGAGGTCCGGAGACTCTAAATTAATAACAACTCCGGTGGTGCACCGCGAAACGAGAGATCTATAGATTAATGTTGTCTGAATATTAAAATTCATAATTGGGTAATCTCATAAATTTATTAAAATTCATAGGTAGTTTAGACCTGCTACACCATTTAATAAAAATCTACCTGGCGTCCCCTGGCAGGTTGAAGATGGTTTGGTCCAGACTGAAGGCAGCTGGAGTCTGAATGGGGGTCAGAGTGGGATGGTACGGTCCAGCAGGGGGGGAGCTGGGCTGGGAGTGGGAAAGCCTGAGGACAGACTGGCAGACAGAGACACACGTTGATGATCACATATTAAAGTTCTTCCACTAGAAACATGTGTTGGTGTGTTTGTACCCGTCCCGCAGCATCGACGTCCAATCGTAGAGGAGGAGGGATGTTCCGTGGCCGGGGCGAAGGAGGTGGAGGGGTGGAGTTTAAACCTTGTATTCTCATTGGCTCTTTGCTGCCCAGGAGCCGGAAGTTGAAAGGCTCTTCGTGCGTTGGGGAGGATGGCCCGCTGCGCATTGCTAGCCCCACCCCCTCGCGGCCTCTGATTGGCTGAGCCAGCAGATGGGCACCTCCGTCTATGTCCCGGCCAATCATCTCAAGGGACTCCAGCGAGTGGGCGTGTCTCATGGTGTCCATCACCCGCCTGAACCCCGCCCCTTCCAGTCGCTCCTCAAAGTCCGTGCATGTCCATCGTCCACGGCGATAGGGCTCGCCCCGCCCGCCGCTGCCGGAACCGCCCACCGTCAGCCTCACCACCCTGAATCTGGAGGAAGACCCTGCACCCTGCCCCGGGGCATCATGGGACATGTACTTCCTCTTCAGAGAGGGCGTGTTCGGCTGGGAGGAGCTTCCCAGAGGGCTGCAGGAGAAGGAGGAGGCTGCTGATTGGAGGGCAGTCAGGACCACGCTGGGAGCTGATTGGCCAGCTGGAGTTTGGTTGAAATCTGAGGTCACGCTGGTGATCTGGAAGCCACTCCTCTTTTTACCACCGCTCATCCTCACAAACCCACCGCAGACTCACTGAAACACACAAAGACAACGCGTGACTTACGAGGACGCTTCACTAAAAGGTGTTTGTGCGCTCGCTGCTGGAAAACTGGACTTATTTACAGAGTTCAGAGAGAGGAGCTTCTTTTTATCTTAACATAAAAGCTTCAGATGCTACACTGACTTGTAACAGGCAGTACGACACCAACACGACTCTTCAGCGAGGAACTATAAGAAGAAGCAGCACGTATATACTGTACAGTGTGAGTTCTGCTAGCTCCGTGTTCTCAGTATGGACATCAGGCAGAGGCTGAAGAGACAGAAGAAGAACATGTTGTCAGATGAAGCTAAGAACAAGCAGCAGGCTGCCAGACGGCGAGCCGGCCTTCTTTCTGTTGGACCAGCCAGTCATATGTCTCTTGTGCTGGGTGTTTAGCTGTTAGCAGATTTGCTAGTGTTTGATGGTGATGTGATGAAAACAAGTGCACGTGTGCAGCTGAGCTGAGTTACAACTTTCCAAACAGTAAAGTCTGACTGATAATGGAGTCTCTGTGCTGTAACCACTAACCCCCTGACCTCAACCTGACACCAGGTCTAAACCCCGACACGTTAAGGTTTACCTGCTGCTGCTGTTCCCAGACTGGAGACGAGTCCTCACAGGTTCTGTGGAGTCAGCTTTATGTCCACAGAAAGACTAACAACAAACACCGTGGAGAGGGAGACTGCACCACACTGTCTCTCTCTCTCTCTCCTGCTGTTATGGTCAGTGTCTCTCGCCCCGCACTCCTCTTCTTCTTCTGTGCTTCCTGTTTCCTCTGACTCTGTTCTGTTGCTGGTTGCTTCAGGCTGCAGCCTGTTGCACAATCTGGATTACAGAGTGTGTGCTGAGTTCAGGTTCTGCAGGATCTGAGCTGTAAAACCACATTCACACAGTCTGCACATGCACTGCTGCAACTACTTGTACTCGGAGTATATGTACTCTCTGTCTGCACACGCACTGCTGCTACTACTTGTACTCTATTCTATACTCTATAGTATATGTACTCTCTGTCTGCACACGCACTGCTGCTACTACTTGTACTCTATTCTATACTCTATAGTATATGTACTCTCTGTCTGCACACGCACTGCTGCTACTACTTGTACTCAGAGTATATGTACTCTGTCTGCACATGCACTGCTGCTACTACTTGTACTCGGAGTATATGTACTCTCTGTCTGCACACGCACTGCTGCTACTACTTGTACTCTATTCTATACTCTATAGTATTTGTACTCTCTGTCTGCACACGCACTGCTGCTACTACTTGTACTCGGAGTATATGTACTCTCTGTCTGCACACGCACTGCTGCAACTACTTGTACTCGGAGTATATGTACTCTCTGTCTGCACACGCACTGCTGCTACTACTTGTACTCGGAGTATATGTACTCTCTGTCTGCACACGCACTGCTGCTACTACTTGTACTCGGAGTATATGTACTCTCTGTCTGCACACGCACTGCTGCTACTACTTGTACTCTATTCTATACTCTATAGTATTTGTACTCTCTGTCTGTACATGTAGTAGCAGTTCCTACTTGTACTCTCAGTGTGTACATGTGGGGTCTTCCTTCATACATCGGTCTGCCGGCTGCAGTAACTTCACTCACTGATTGGCTGGTTGGTTTATCTTCAGATTACTCTGTATCTCCACCAGAGGAAATGAGACGGAGGTGGAACCATTAGATAAAGTTCAGGAAACTGCACAGCTGTCTCTGACGCTTGGTTGAAACTCTGATCATTAGTACTTCAGTGAGTACTGCTCCTGTGAGTTCTGACTAACAGTAGACTTTAAACAGACTAAAACAACAAGTTAAAACTTTAAACCTGCTACAACATCCAGTAAGAGACTAAAAGTTCATTTCACATTCTTAGTGACCCTCGAAGGGTCCTGAGCCACAGGTTGGGACCCACTGAACAGATTAATGATGAGTGTTATGATGCAGTGTTATTTAAACAGCTGTCAGTGAGGGTTCTGTCCTCGGTCCTGGGTTTAGGGTTAGTGAAGCTGAAAAACTCTCAGCTGTACTTTACAAAGTACAAATACTCTGAACGCCGAACTAGTTGTATAAAGTACAAATACTCTGAACGCCGGACTGGAAAACTGCTCTGGTGCCAGTTGTATAAAGTACAAATACTCTGAACGCCGAACTAGTTGTATAAAGTACAAATACTCTGAACGCCGGACTAGTTGTATAAAGTATAAATACTCTGAACGCCGGACTGGAAAACTGCTCTGGTGCCAGCTGTATAGTATCTATACTCTGAAATATTATCTGTACTTTATAAAACTCACACCAGTTGTTTAAAGTACAAATACTGTGAAACGGGTAGTAAACAACAATCCCTCTGACGTCATCGTAAACAAAGACTCACGTTCACTCAGCTGAAGCGCGCTCCCGGTGCTGCTCCGGATCAGCGGCCGCGCGCCTCTGTCTCGCTCGCTCTCCGATGACGTCACCGCCGGACCCCGTGACACAATCGGTGTATTATACACAGGAAGTGGGCATGCGCAGTACAGCCTCGGGCCAGCCGCAGGCGGCGGGAGCGCGCACAGAGAGAAAAGTTTCAAGAGGAGTTCCTCCAACTTCTTCTTCTGCGGGTTTTCTTCTTCTTTTAGTCCACCACAGATCCGGCCTGCAGCGGGAGGCTCCTTCTTCTTCTTCTCTAAGGAGAAACTAACTCTTCTTCTGCTTCTCTGCCTCCCCTCTCTCTGTAAACCGCGCGCGCCTCTTAAACAGCCAGTAATCACCTTCATCCTCCTCCTCCTCCTCATCATCATGTCCGGGGCACACGGCCCCCCCGCCTTCCCCTGGTAGAGTGAGAGACGGGACGTGCGCGTGAACGAGCAACGCGCGTGCGCGTGAACGAACAACGCGCGTGCGCGACTTGGAAGTGCATGCGCCGTGCAGACGGGGCGAGGGGTATATTTTATTCAGTCCACATGTCAGAATCAGAAGGAGCTTTATTGTCAAGTAGCGTTTTACACACACGAGGAATTTGCTGTGGTGATGAGGTGCTGCACGTAGACAAACATCCAGTCGACATAAATAAATGTGGAAATATATAAATATGGAATAGAAGAACAACAGATACATACATGTGCATTATTCTGGGTCTGTGCAGATGTAACGCAACAGAAGAGAATATTGTGTACATATTAATATATAACCTGACAACATAAAAATATACAACAAAGATCAACAATCAACAACAAATATGTGCAACATGTCAGGTCTGAGCCCGACACGAGATGAAACAGGATTTATGTGCAGAGACATTTGTATCGTTTGTAAGTGGTCTTGTTAATGAGGCTGCAGACGGGAAGAAAGTGTTTGTGGCGAGAGGTTTTGGTCCTGATGGACCGCAGCCTCCTGCCAGAAGGGAGAGTCTGAAACAGTTTGTGTCCGGGGTGGGAGGAGTCAGCTGCAATCTTTCCTGCTCGCCACAGAGTCCTGGAGCCAATCACCTTCTCTGCAGAGCGAATGATGCGCTGCAGCCTGCCCTTGTCCCTGGCGGTGGCAGCAGCATTCCAGATGGTGATGGAGGAGGTGAGGATGGACTCAATGATGGAGGTGTAGAAGTGCACCATCATTGTCTTTGGCAGGCTGAACTTCTTCAGCTGCCGCAGGAACTACATCCTCTGCTGGGCCTTCTTGGTGAGGGAGGTGATGTTCAGCTCCCACTTGAGGTCCTGGGAGATGATGGTGCCCAGGAAGCAGAAGGAGTCCACAGTGGTGACTGAGGGGTCACACAGGATGATGGGGGGAGGGTGGAGCTGGGCTCTTCCTGAAGTCCACGACCATCTCCACTGTCTTCTGAGCGTTGAGCTCCAGACTGTTTCTGGTTGCACCAGGTCACCAGATGGCCGATCTCCCACCTGTAGGCGGACTCATCCCCACCAGAGATGAGCCCAATGAGGGTGGTGTCATCCGCAAACTTCAGGAGCTTGACAGACTGGTGACTGGAGGTGCAGCTGTTGGTGTACAGGGAGAAGAGAAGGGGGGAGAGAACGCAGCCCTGAGGGGATCCGGTGCTGATGGTCCTGGAGTCAGAGACTTGTTTTCCCAGCTTCACGCGCTGCTTCCTGTCTGTCAGGAAGTCTTTGATCCACCTGCAGGTGGAGTCAGGCACGCTCAGCTAGGAGAGCTTGTCCTGCAGCAGGCCCGGGATGATGGTGTTGAAAGCAGAGCTGAAATCCACAAACTGGATCCTGGTGTAGGTTCCTGGGGAGTCCAGGTGCTGGAGGATGTAGTGAAGGGCCATGTTTACTGCATCATCTACAGACCTGTTTGCTCTGTAGGCGAACTGCAGGGGGTCCAGGATCTGGTCTGTGATGGATTTTAGGTGGGACAACACAAGGCGTTCAAAGGACTTCATAACCACAGAGGTCAGGGCGACGGGTCTGTAGTGGTTTAGTCCTGTGGTCCTTGGTTTCTTGGCCCTTGTATTGATTTTATTCATTTGTATTTTATTTATTGTTCTGTTGTTTTGGTGTTTTATAAATAAATTCTGATCGATTGATTAATTAATGTTTTATTCTGACAGAAACATTTACATAATATGAAAGTATCTGAACATCATAAAGAGAATAATTCTGAATCATAACTCAGTAATTTAATGTCTTATTATGACAGAAGGCCGATTTAAAACATCTTGATGAAATCTTTTTAGAACTTTTTCAATCCCCCACTGTGTCCCTGAACAAGACACTTAACCCCTCGCTGCTCCAGAGGCGTGCGACCTCTGACACATAGCAGCTGTAAGTCGCTTTGGATGAAAGCATCAGCTAAATGCATAAATGTAATGTACTCCTTGTAGTTATTTGTTTTATGTATACTTTATGTATTTATAGATCATAAACCTCATCAGAACCTTTGAGGCTTCAGGGCAGATGAAGACCCTGCTGTAGGGTGTCAGTGCAGTGACCTCTTGTGGTCAGCTGACGCCGCTGCAGCCTGGTGCAGCTGGGAAAGACTCACGAGGCTGCAGGACTTTAAATCTTTTAAGTGCGTCTGGACTCAGAGGTAAAGGTTTGAATGTGCCCTGAGACGCTGTTCAGACTCCATGGTGTAACTGTATACTGCATATTCGTGCAGTGTGTACGTGTTATACTACGTCTCCACTAGAGCCCGACTGATCTGGGTTTATGGAGGACCGATGCCGATATTAAAGTGAAAAAGAGACGATATTTAGATTTAGAGAATGATTTGGAAAGTAGACCCCTTACCTGTATAAACTACACAGGCTGATACTGAAAGCTGGTATGTATGTGGGCTATTAAATCTTTTCCTGAAGGGATTATGTTAATAAAATAGATTACAGTCTCAACAACTTAACATGTAAACAATTGTCCATCAGTAAATATTTGTTGCAGGAAGGTGCAACTGTCACACATGACACACATGATCTGCAGCTTTGAGACTGAGAGAATTAAGATGTTAGAGGATATTTAGAAGTGAACTAGGGACAAATGTTGACTGGTCACTACAACTGTTTTAGAAATAAATCTACAATCACATCTGTCACCATTAACCTTCTGTGGGGCAGGACAAAGCCGGGGGAGTGCAGTGAAAAACGGGAGGGTTAGCAAGTCATGAAGGTTTGTTGAATCAAAGTTTAGTAGACCGCTAATTCTAACAAATACTAAGTTCCACTGTATAACAACCCAGGGTGTTATCCTGTGGAACAACAGCAGTAATGATTTAAAATTATGTAAAAACTTATTGCAATTTAAATTTAAAAAAAGAATCCTTGATGGATATGAGCTGGAACAGTGATTTTCTTTTTTGATCTTCATATAGTTAAGTTTAGGTAAGTTACATAGTTTAAGTAGTTAAAACATATCAGTGAAGTGGGGATAGGACAAGAAAAGTAACTTCTCCCTACCCCCTTTGAACATGACATGTTATCTGGACAATCTGCAGATGATCTTTTTTTGTTGATTGTTTATTTTTATTCAGTAACATGTTCAATAAAGAGTTGAAAAAAAAAATTGTTTACAGGAGAAGTGATGGGTCTGTTTTTATTATTAGAATTTAAATCATGTAATTAACGTGACAAATGACGGACTCACCGCTAGCAGCCCTATGCCTGTTTCTACACACTGCAGTCAGCTGATTGTTGTCTTTAGTGGATTTTCTGGTGCAGCAGTGCGAGCTGCAGAACTGTTTCTTTATCAATAGTCAAATATCTGCTGTCATAAACGCTGAAGCAGATTAAATGCAGTTAGCTCATATCGGCCGATAGTATCGGCCTGCCGATATCTCGGTCGGGCTGATATATCGGTCAGGTTCTAGTCTTTACTTCAGCTGAAACAAACGCTGAGCAGCTGGACCATGACAGAAAATATACAAATCTGAATCAACAGATAAAAAATAAACAACTTAAGAACTAAAGACTTCCTGTTGGTGGCATAAGAACCTGACTCAGTCCGATCAAATCAACCAATCAGACTACACCGTCTCCTCTGGACGTCATCATGTGTTGCATCATCATGTGATGTCACTTTATTTCACAGAAACAGAACAACCATTCATCTTTACAAAGCTCTTAAACACACCGCGAGAACTCCGTTAGCCTGCCCCATTTAAATCTATGGGCCCTGCTAGCAGTATTAGCATCCACTATTCACACCACTGGTTCCTGTTAACGCTGTTAGCATAACCTAAAACCCCAGGGGCCCCGTATAAACCAATGGGAACTCATTCACGTCAACGTGGACACTGGTAACAACGCTAGCATTGTTCAGTGAAATTAATGGGTTCTGCTAACAGTAACACTGCTAGCAACTAGATGCTCTGCTAACGCTAGCATTTCCAATTCAAATTAATGAGCACTGCAATCAATGGGATGCTAGCAGTGTTAGCATTTCCCAATCAAATCAATGGTCTCAATGGGTTCTAGCAGTGTTCAGTATAAGACTCGGGCAGGTTGACAGCAATGTCCACACATGGAACAGCTCGGGGTCAGCTAAAGACCACATAAGGTCATGTAAACAGGTAACATGAAGGTCAGGAGTCTATATGAAGGTCAGGAGTCTATATGAAGGTCAGGTGTCTATATGAAGGTCAGGAGTTGAAGGTCAGGTGTCAATATGAAGGTCAGGAGTCTATATGAAGGTCAGGAGTTGAAGGTCAGGAGTCTATATGAAGGTCAGGAGTTGAAGGTCAGGTGTCAATATGAAGGTCAGGAGTCTATATGAAGGTCAGGAGTTGAAGGTCAGGAGTCTATATGAAGGTCAGGAGTTGAAGGTCAGGAGTCTATATGAAGGTCAGGGGTCTATATGAAGGTCAGGAGTTGAAGGTCAGGAGTCTATATGAAGGTCAGGAGTCTATATGAAGGTCAGGAGTTGATGACACACACATGGAACAGCTCGGGGTCAGCTAAAGACCACATAAGGTCATGTAAACAGGTAACATGAAGGTCAGGAGTTGAAGGTCAGGTGTCTATATGAAGGTCAGGTGTCTATATGAAGGTCAGGAGTCTATATGAAGGTCAGGAGTTGAAGGTCAGGTGTCTATATGAAGGTCAGGAGTCTATATGAAGGTCAGGTGTCTATATGAAGGTCAGGTGTCTATATGAAGGTCAGGAGTCTATATGAAGGTCAGGAGTCTATATGAAGGTCAGGTGTCTATATGAAGGTCAGGTGTCTATATGAAGGTCAGGTGTCTATATGAAGGTCAGGGGTCTATATGAAGGTCAGGAGTCTATATGAAGGTCAGGAGTTGAAGGTCAGGAGTCTATATGAAGGTCAGGAGTCTATATGAAGGTCAGGGGTCTATATGAAGGTCAGGAGTCTATATGAAGGTCAGGGGTCTATATGAAGGTCAGGGGTCTATATGAAGGTCAGGAGTCTATATGAAGGTCAGGGGTCTATATGAAGGTCAGGGGTCTATATGAAGGTCAGGAGTTGAAGGTCAGGAGTCTATATGAAGGTCAGGGGTCTATATGAAGGTCAGGGGTCTATATGAAGGTCAGGTGCTGGTGTTCGTCGAGGCCGTAGCTGTGTTTGTGCTGCTCGAACAGTTCACTCAGACTCTCCAGGTAAACTTTATGGAGACACTCGATGTCCTCACTGCTGGGACTGGGAGTCTGGACAACTGGTATCGGCTTCCCCACTGAAAACAGAGTAGGGGGTTGTTAGCTATGATGCTAACTGTTGCTAACACCACAGCATCCTTAAATGAACAGTGTGCAGGATTCAGTGGCATCTAGCGGTGAAATTACACTTCACCACCAACTCAGTACCCCCTCCCTCCCTCCCTTCCCCAGTGTTTGGTTTGTCCTTTCTGGGTTTCTGTAGAAACATGGTGGACTCCTTTGTGGATATAAAGGGCTCATTCTAAGGTTACGAAAACACAACAACAACTCTAATTCTCAGCTAAGTAGAGTCACTTAATCGTACACACTGAACCTTTAGACACACAGAGATAAAACTGTAATCCATCTTCTCCAACAATTCTAGCTCAACATTAGGTAAGATGTCTGTGAAGATTCTCAGTCATCCAGGTCATAGTTCTCCAAAGAAAGTTAACCTTCATTCATGTGACTCTAACCTTTGTTGGATAATGTTGAGTAACTTTTGTAGTAAATGTAGTAATCATACCAATGGTGTTGATGGGCTTCCTGTAGGGCAACAGTCCAAAGCTGTACTGGAAAACTCCTCTAGCGTGAAACAGAGGCATCGCGACTCCCATGATGCTCTGCAGCCGGTTCTGTGCACACAGGACAACATTTGAAACGTCAACTAACAAGAAGAATCTGCTCTGTTGATAGGTTGCTATTGTGTGGTTGCTACGTTGCTCGATGCTCGAGCTATGACCTCAGTGTTCACGCTGTAGACTTGCAGGTGGAAGACATGGATAGAATGGTTTGTCCAACATGCAGAGACAAATAAAGGTATGCTAGCTATGTTTACTGGATTGATTTTAGCCTGATAGCTAGTGTCGTGTTACCACGGCACTTTCAGACGCTCTGTTTGCCATTTCACAGAGGTGCTGGGATAAACTGGCCTTATATAAACCCTGTCACAACCATTCACAGGATTTTGTTTTATAATTTGCGGAAACCTTTAACATAAGTACGACTTAAAAAGCAACCACTCATACAGCAAAGTGTATAGAATATTTAGCCTATGACTGATCAATCAACAACAAAGTCAAAGTAAACATTACACAGCTTAACAAGCAATAACCAAAACATTCCCAATTTATCCAATCCTTATTGTCAGTGTTGGGCAAGTCACTCTGCGTCCCCTCTTCTTCCCAACTAGTCACTCTGCGTCCCCTCTTCTTCCCCACTAGTCACTCTGCGTCCCCTCTTCTTCCCCACTAGTCACTCTGCGTCCCCTCTTCTTCCCCACTAGTCACTCTGCGTCCCCTCTTCTTCCCCACTAGTCACTCTGCGTCCCCTCTTCTTCCCCACTAGTCACTCTGCGTCCCCTCTTCTTCCCCACTAGTCACTCTGCGTCCCCTCTTCTTCCCCACTAGTCACTCTGCGTCCCCTCTTCTTCCCCACTAGTCACTCTGCGTCCCCTCTTCTTCCCCACTAGTCACTCTGCGTACCCTCTTCTTCCCCACTAGTCACTCTGCGTCCCCTCTTCTTCCCAACTAGTCACTCTGCGTCCCCTCTTCTTCCCCACTAGTCACTCTGCGTCCCCTCTTCTTCCCCACTAGTCACTCTGCGTCCCCTCTTCTTCCCCACTAGTCACTCTGCGTCCCCTCTTCTTCCCCACTAGTCACTCTGCGTCCCCTCTTCTTCCCCACTAGTCACTCTGCGTCCCCTCTTCTTCCCCACTAGTCACTCTGCGTACCCTCTTCTTCCCAACTAGTTACTCTGCGTCCCCTCTTCTTCCCAACTAGTCACTCTGCGTCCCCTCTTCTTCCCAACTAGTCACTCTGCGTACCCTCTTCTTCCCCACTAGTCACTCTGCGTCCCCTCTTCTTCCCAACTAGTCACTCTGCGTCCCCTCTTCTTCCCCACTAGTCACTCTGCGTACCCTCTTCTTCCCAACTAGTTACTCTGCGTCCCCTCTTCTTCCCAACTAGTCACTCTGCGTACCCTCTTCTTCCCAACTAGTCACTCTGCGTCCCCTCTTCTTCCCCACTAGTCACTCTGCGTCCCCTCTTCTTCCCCACTAGTCACTCTGCGTCCCCTCTTCTTCCCCACTAGTCACTCTGCGTCCCCTCTTCTTCCCCACTAGTCACTCTGCGTCCCCTCTTCTTCCCAACTAGTTACTCTGCGTCCCCTCTTCTTCCCAACTAGTCACTCTGCGTCCCCTCTTCTTCCCCACTAGTTACTCTGCGTACCCTCTTCTTCCCCACTAGTTACTCTGCGTACCCTCTTCTTCCCAACTAGTCACTCTGCGTCCCCTCTTCTTCCCCACTAGTCACTCTGCGTCCCCTCTTCTTCCCCACTAGTCACTCTGCGTCCCCTCTTCTTCCCCACTAGTCACTCTGCGTCCCCTCTTCTTCCCCACTAGTCACTCTGCGTCCTCTCTTCTTCCCCACTAGTTACTCTGCGTCCCCTCTTCTTCCCAACTAGTCACTCTGCGTCCCCTCTTCTTCCCAACTAGTCACTCTGCGTCCCCTCTTCTTCCCAACTAGTCACTCTGCGTACCCTCTTCTTCCCCACTAGTCACTCTGCGTCCCCTCTTCTTCCCCACTAGTCACTCTGCGTACCCTCTTCTTCCCAACTAGTTACTCTGCGTCCCCTCTTCTTCCCAACTAGTCACTCTGCGTACCCTCTTCTTCCCAACTAGTCACTCTGCGTCCCCTCTTCTTCCCCACTAGTCACTCTGCGTCCCCTCTTCTTCCCCACTAGTCACTCTGCGTCCCCTCTTCTTCCCCACTAGTCACTCTGCGTCCCCTCTTCTTCCCCACTAGTCACTCTGCGTCCCCTCTTCTTCCCAACTAGTCACTCTGCGTCCCCTCTTCTTCCCAACTAGTTACTCTGCGTCCCCTCTTCTTCCCAACTAGTCACTCTGCGTCCCCTCTTCTTCCCCACTAGTTACTCTGCGTACCCTCTTCTTCCCCACTAGTTACTCTGCGTACCCTCTTCTTCCCAACTAGTCACTCTGCGTCCCCTCTTCTTCCCCACTAGTCACTCTGCGTCCCCTCTTCTTCCCCACTAGTCACTCTGCGTCCCCTCTTCTTCCCCACTAGTCACTCTGCGTCCCCTCTTCTTCCCCACTAGTCACTCTGCGTCCCTCTTCTTCCCCACTAGTCACTCTGCGTCCCCTCTTCTTCCCCACTAGTCACTCTGCGTCCCCTCTTCTTCCCCACTAGTCACTCTGCGTCCCCTCTTCTTCCCCACTAGTCACTCTGCGTCCCCTCTTCTTCCCCACTAGTCACTCTGCGTACCCTCTTCTTCCCAACTAGTTACTCTGCGTACCCTCTTCTTCCCCACTAGTCACTCTGCGTACCCTCTTCTTCCCCACTAGTCACTCTGCGTACCCTCTTCTTCCCAACTAGTTACTCTGCGTACCCTCTTCTTCCCCACTAGTCACTCTGCGTCCCCTCTTCTTCCCCACTAGTCACTCTGCGTCCCCTCTTCTTCCCAACTAGTCACTCTGCGTACCCTCTTCTTCCCAACTAGTCACTCTGCGTACCCTCTTCTTCCCCACTAGTTACTCTGCGTACCCTCTTCTTCCCAACTAGTTACTCTGCGTACCCTCTTCTTCCCAACTAGTTACTCTGCGTACCCTCTTCTTCCCAACTAGTTACTCTGCGTACCCTCTTCTTCCCAACTAGTTACTCTGCGTACCCTCTTCTTCCCAACTAGTTACTCTGCATATCCTCTTATGGCACAATAACGGTAATAACGTTACTTAAAGCAGTACCTCTCTCTGCCTGTTCTCCGGTTCTCCGTTAGCTTCTTGGCTAACAGCTGACTCTAACAACAGAAGGTCCGGTGCCGCTGAGCTGCAGCGCGGTCGTGCATTCACATCGGGGATGGTGCGTTTAGTAGCGCAGCGTTACTTGAAATAGTAACTAATAATATAACTGTTTTGGAAATAGTAATCCGATACATTACTCTTTACTGGGAAACGTAATATTGCAGTATTCCTGCCCAACACGTTAGGCACCACTGATGCGCGACAGCGACTGTGGAATTGGCAGCTGAACTTTTTTTTTTTTATTACAGTTCTGCATGATTCATGTGGGTCCGATTTTCAGGTCAGAAAATCCGGATTTCTGGATTAATCTGGAAAAAAAATCACATCCCTGGCTTTTGTTTGATAGGGAGCATTATCATGCCATTATATCATCGTATAAGTGGCAATAAATGGACTTAAAATGACAAAAACATCTTTTATAGCAATTAATTCTTGGACAATATTTTATCTAACACAAGTAGTTATCATGTCATGTCAGGACTAACTAAAACCTCACTCTCCATCCAGGAGCTGTGCTTGGTCAGACCAGGTCCAAACACAGTGTCCGAGACCGACAGAGGCCAGGAAGTAGAGTAGGAGCTGATTTACAGGCTCCGATCAGAATTAATTCTTTGTGAGTAACGTCACGTTGATCAGACTGCAAGTCTTTGTTCCTGAGAAGGTGTCAGATCTTTACTCCTGTGTTCTGAACAGCACGACCTGTGTGAAAGAAACGTGGTGGGTTAATCAGTGTGACCTCTGACCTGCAGCGTCCTCAGAGGAGAGCCGGTGGGATTCTCCATCTGATCAAACAACTCGTTCTCTCCAAAGGAAAAGACAGGAACCAGCTGAGCCCTGCACACAAACACGCAGTCAGTATACTGTTTGTAAGTCCACCTCTTGGAGCCCCGCCCCCATCATAAGCTCCACCCACCCGTGTTTGAGAGCCAGTTTGATGAAGCCCTTCCTGTTTCGGACCTGGAACGAAACGCACAGGCGTTCAGTCTCATGAAAATCAGTGACATGAACCTTTTCTCCCGACTTTCATATCTTCCAGCCAGCAAGCTGGTGGACTCTTTACTGAACCAGACGACGGCGTTTCCCTCAGGTACTAGCGCGCTAACGTTGGCTCAGGTAGATCGTAACTATTTGTAATCTCTAGGTGGGAACTAGTTAGTGAGCTTTGACCTGGGTTAATGTAGTGATGATGAGCAGTCAGTGAACGTTCCCAGGTCATAGTTTCCAACCGGACTGGGTGAAGACACTCCAAGACCTTTCACCTCTCGTGCAAGAGGCTTCTTCTCAGTAACGCAGCTGATGTGTCCACACTGCCTCACAGAGGAATTTAACTACTTCTCTTTACTTCATCCTCTACTGAAGCAACACGGCTGCACTCTGACTGACCGTCTGGACTCTGTTAGAGACTTGCAACACAATCAGAGACAGACGTTTCTCAGAAAGTCAGGAGACCTCAGTCGGATCTAATTCATTCAGTAAGGTGACGGAATAAAACCTACCTGCAGCGTTAAAGCTCCCGGTCGGGCGTCCAGAGACTCTGGAGCTCCGCCCACCGCGATGACAGCAACGTTACCTCCTTCAGGACGACTGACCAGGTATGACAGGCTGGCCTTAGAGCTGGACACCAGGCCTGGCAGAGAGACAGGTGGGGGACAGACAGGTTAATAAAGACAGGCTGGCCTTAGAGCTGGACACCAGGCCTGGCAGACAGACAGGTGGGGGACAGACAGGTTAATAAAGACAGGCTGGCCTTAGAGCTGGACACCAGGCCTGGCAGAGAGACAGGTGGGGGACACACAGGTTAATAAAGACAGGCTGGCCTTAGAGCTGGACACCAGGCCTGGCAGACAGACAGGTGGGGGACAGACAGGTTAATAAAGACAGGCTGGCCTTAGAGCTGGACACCAGGCCTGGCAGAGAGACAGGTGGGGGACAGACAGGTTAACAAAGACAGGCTGGCCTTAGAGCTGGACACCAGGCCTGGCAGACAGACAGGTGGGGGACAGACAGGTTAATAAAGACAGGCTGGCCTTAGAGCTGGACACCAGGCCTGGCAGAGAGACAGGTGGGGGACAGACAGGTTAACAAAGACAGGCTGGCCTTAGAGCTGGACACCAGGCCTGGCAGAGAGACAGACAGGTTAATAAAGACAGGCTGGCCTTAGAGCTGGACACCAGGCCTGCCAGACAGACAGGTGGGGGACAGACAGGTTAATAAAGACAGGCTGGCCTTAGAGCTGGACACCAGGCCTGGCAGACAGACAGGTGGGGGACAGACAGGTTAACAAAGACAGGCTGGCCTTAGAGCTGGACACCAGGCCTGGCAGACAGACAGGTGGGGGACAGACAGGTTAATAAAGACAGGCTGGCCTTAGAGCTGGACACCAGGCCTGGCAGAGAGACAGGTGGGGGACAGGCAGGTTAATAAAGACAGGCTGGCCTTAGAGCTGGACACCAGGCCTGGCAGAGAGACAGGTGGGGGACAGGCAGGTTAATAAAGACAGGCTGGCCTTAGAGCTGGACACCAGGCCTGCCAGACAGACAGGTGGGGGACAGACAGGTTAACAAAGACAGGCTGGCCTTAGAGCTGGACACCAGGCCTGGCAGACAGACAGGTGGGGGACAGACAGGTAAACACTGGCAGTAAAGTGTGTCCACATTAGCAGAACATTTTGTTCAGTGGGGTCACAGTGCGTCCCTGACCAACCTCTGGAGGCTGGATCCCAGTCCGTCCCAATGATTACTATCATTATGAAGAGATCCAGGCTTCTGGACTGCAGACGATGCTCGGCTTCTTTTACAGAAATATCTCCTGCTGCTTGCTGACCTCCACCCTGACCTCTGCTGGGACCTCCAGCCCCATCAGGGCTGCTTCATGTTGGACCCCCGAAACCCTGAAGCAGCGTGAAAGAATGGACTGTCACATGACCCTGTTGACCTCATCCCCCAGTCCAGAGAGACCTCACTCACAAAGTGATGATGAAACTGATCATCACCCCCCCCCCCCCAATGCCCACGCTGCGACAGCCAATCAGAGAGCAGCGTTCTGCCTCCTCCTGCCCTGTGACACAGTGTTTACTCAGAGCTGTACAAACAGCTGATTGAGAAACTCCCTGACAGCAGCAGGATCCAAAGCCTCCATCAGCCCTAAACCAGGGGTGCCAGCTCCCAGTCCACAAGGAACCTTTCCCGACCTACAGATGGTTCAAAGACGGCAACGAACTGAAGAAACGCTAAAAAGTCTGACTAAAGAACAGCCAGTAAGCACAGGTCACCCACGTCCTGTGAACCCAACACCAACAGCACATGATGGAAATACAAGGAGGCACTGCAAGGTCGAAGCAAGGTGGCTCTTATCAGCAGGCTGTGCTAATGCAGTCTTTCAGAAAACAGCATTTTCAAACTCACTGAATAAAAACATTTATTTATATATATTTGGTAGACTACAGGCTTATTTCTTCATTTAAATGTCACGTGATGATTTCTACTAAAGCAAGTCAGTTTATCATCCCTCACGAAGCTTTGCAGGCGGCTTCTTCCCCTGAGATTCGGCCCCAGACTAAGTGATTACGTATCCCCATCAGAGCAGGGTCGTTGCCACGCTGCTGCTCGCCCTGTTGTGTTTCCATGCCATGTGCTCCCGGGCCCGATTCCCCGGACTCAGCTGCGCGAGTGTCGCCTCCCACAGGAAAAACTCCAGAGCCCAGATGAGCCACGCAACACTGGAGGATTCTGGGAATTACACGTGTGGTGGAGAACCCGCTGGGAAAGGCAGCTCCACTGGCACTGTTAGCGTCCAAAGCAGAGAGCACCGACTCCTAAGCAACAAGGGAAACGCCACAGATGTGCTCTGTTGTTGACGGCATATCACCGAAAACACTAGAGAAAATGGCTTTCTCCTCGACACCCGCCCTCTCACGGGTCTCAGTCAATGAGCTTGAAGATAATTTCAGTTCTAAAATGACAAATGTTATTGATGCCGTTGCACCAGCCAAGGTGAAGATGGTCTCTGGTAAGAAGATCTCCATGGAGAAATGCCACGATGGTTAGAACTCAAAAAAGAGAGTGTTGAAAAGCTGAACGCAGGTGGAGGAAAACAAATCTCCAGGTTCATTATGACATCTATAAAGAGAGACTTCGCATTGATAATTTAGAACTGAGAAATGCAAGGCGGACCTTCTTCTCTGACATCATCACCAAAAACACTAATAATGCACGTGCCCTGTTTGCTACTGTCGACCGGCTAACCAACCCTCATGTGTCTGTAGCCTCTGACCTTCTATCCACCAGGGCCTGCAATGAATCTGCCTCCTTCTTCACAGACAAAATTCAAACTATTAGACAAGCAATCAGTGCCTCCCTGCCTGTAACAGGATATGTCTTGTTCCTGTGTCCACTTAAAAAAAAAAAAAAATCATATAGCATGAGACAATTTCTCAGTGCTGTATTCGACACGGTCGACCACAACATATTACTAGACAGACTTGAAAACTGGGTTGGACTTACTGGCACAGTACTAAAATGGTTTGAATCCTACTTAAAGGACAGGGACTACTTTGTGTCTATAGGTAATCACACATCTGAGCTGACACAAATGACATGTGGAGTTCCCCAAGGCTCCATTCTGGGGCCTCTTTTGTTTAACATTTACATGCTTCCACTGGCTCAGATTATGAAAAACAACAAAATATGTTACCATAATTATGCAGATGACACACAGATTTACATAACCATTTCACCAGGGGACTATGTTCCCATACAGGCGCTGAGTAACTGTATTGAGCAGGTCAACGATTGGATGTGCCAGAATTTTCTTCAGTTAAACAAGGATAAAACTGAAGTTATTGTTTTTGGAGGCAGGGAGGAACGATTGAAATAAGTGCTCGACTTCAATCTGTAATGTTAAGAACCACAAATCAAGCCAGAAATCTTGGTGTAGTCATGGACTCAGACCTGAATTTGAGGAGCCACATTAAGACAATTACAAAGTCAGCCTACTATCACCTGAAGAATATATCAAGGATTAAAGGACTTATGTCTCAGCAGGACCTGGAAAAACTTATCCATGCATTTATCTTCAGTCGACTCGACTACTGTAACAGCGTCCTTACAGGCTCCCTAAGAAATCCATCAGACAGCTGCAGCTGATTCAGAACGCTGCTGCTCGAGTCCTCACTAAGACCAAAAAGGTGGATCACATCACTCCAGTTCTGAGGTCTTTACATTGGCTTCCTGTATGTTAAAGAATTGATTTCAAAATCCTGCTGTTAGTTTATAAAGCACTAAATGGTTTAGGGCCAAAATACATTTCTGATCTTCTGCTTCGTTACGAACCATCCAGACCTCTCAGGTCGTCTGGGGCAGGTCTGCTCTCCGTTTTATTTTCTATTTCACCCTTTTAAAAAATATAATTTAATGTGTTTTTTTTATTGCCCTACGTTGCTTTTGTTTTATGTAAAGCAATCTGAATTGCCTTGTTGTTGAAATGTGCTGTACAAATAAACTCGCCTTGCCTTGTTATGATTGTTCTCTTGCCAAATGACAGATCAGAAGGATAAACATGCATGTAACTATCGTAACATGCATGAAGAACAACTGTCCACATGTGGTTGCAGAAGATTAATCAGTGGAGCAGCACATGGTTCTTGGAGGTGGAATTTCGAACCAATGTATGGTGTGATCTCTCCGTTTTTCCCCATTCACTGCAGTCTGCCACCGTGCCTTTGACCGTCACTAGCACACAACAAAAGCAGCAGACTACAGAGTAGCGTTTTTTTAACGGTCTAACTCGGACTAGATGTTATCTGGTTCTGCTGCTCAAAATCTGCTGTTTGAGAATCTGCACTTTTAGAACATCATATACAGAATTTGAGCTTTTAGAACATCTAACAAGGAATCTGCACATTAAAAACATCTAACAGAGAATCTGCATTTTAAGAACATCTAACAGAGAATCTGCGCTTTAAGAACATCTAGCAGAATCTGCACTTTTAGAAAGAATCTTCACTTTTAGAACATCTAACAAGGAATCTGCACATTAAAAACATCTAACAGAGAATCTGCACATTAAAAACATCTAACAGAGAATCTGCACATTAAAAACATCTAACAGAGAATCTGCACTTTTAGAAAGAGAATCTGCACTTTTAGAAAGAGAATCTGCACTTTTAGAAAGAGAATCTGCACTTTTAGAAAGAGAATCTGCACTTTTAGAAAGAGAATCTGCACTTTTAGAAAGAGAATCTGCACTTTTAGAAAGAGAATCTGCACTTTTAGAAAGAGAATCTGCACTTTTAGAAAGAGAATCTGCACTTTTAGAAAGAGAATCTGCGCTTTGACACAGCTGCTTTCTGTACTTTCTATCATACAAACAGGAGGAAGTAGAGCATCGGGTTTTTTTTCAGGGAATAAATCCACATGTGGTGATCTGGTAAGTGTTGGGGCAGCGGGACGGTGCTGCCCCAACACAGGTCCTAATATCTCTGCTAAACACACAGAGACAGCCGGACAGACAGGTGTGTACCTCCACACATGATGTACTCTCTGAAGAGCGGGACTCTGAACCAGAACGGCAGCATCAGCAGGTGAGGCTTCAGTCCAGGAAAGAGTCGGGAAAAACCCGTCGCCTCCGTGCAGAAGTTTCCAAAGCCCCCCGCTACCAGCACACCTGAGAGACAGACAGGTAGACAGACAGGTCAACACTGCTACCAGCACACCTGACAGACAGACAGGTAGACAGACAGGTGTGTTTCTCACCATGGGGATGAAACCCGAAGATGTAGTTTTTCTTTGGATCCAGATCGACAGTTTTGACCAGCTGGAGACACAAATCAATAATCAGACTGAGCCTCAGGTATTGATCCTTTAGATCTATAAACCTGACCTCACCTTTAGAGGGAAGTAGTCCCTGAAGTAGTCCCAGACCCTCCAGGTCCTGACCCACTGCGACCTCCGACCGCCGCTGCTGGGCGTGTCCCAGTCCAACCACAGCCAACCGGCATACAGCAGGGCCCCCATCCACCAATCAGAGAGAGCCAGGAGGACAATGGCAGCAAGACAGCACTGAGCTGGGAGACAGACAGGTGAGCAGACAGACAGACAGACAGACAGGTGAGCAGGCACACAGACAGACAGACAGGTGAGCAGGTATACAGACAGACAGACAGGTGAGCAGGTATACAGACAGACAGACAGGTGAGCAGGTATACAGACAGACAGGTGAGCAGGTGGACAGGTATACAGACAGGTATACAGACAGGTATACAGACAGACAGGTGAGCAGGTGGACAGGTATACAGACAGGTATACAGACAGACAGGTGAGTTACCCAGAGCCAGGAAGGAGAAGCCCTAGTGAACACAGACAGACAGGTGGACAGGTATACAGACAGGTATACAGACAGACAGGTGAGTTACCCAGAGCCAGGAAGGAGAAGCCCTAGTGAACACAGACAGACAGGTGGACAGGTATACAGACAGACAGACAGACAGACAGGTGAGTTACCCAGAGCCAGGAAGGAGAAGACCCACTGCAGCGTGGCGGCGGTCTGCAGTCTCCGCTGCAGCGGGACGTTCAGCGGGGCGAACTCGATCTTCATGCCGGCGGTCGCGCTCCTTGTCCCGGCTTGAAGCGCTGCGACTTCCCGGTGTCTCCGCCTGGGTGTCGGAGCTTCTCTCGCCTCCTGTTTGTTTGCGTCTCTTTACCCGTCCGACCTGTTTTTCTCTCTGTCTGTCTGTGAGCAGGATACAAAAAGAGTTCCTTGTTGCAGAAATTAAAAAGTCCTCTCCTCTCTCTGACTCAACCCCCAAACTTTACAAACGCCCCCGCCCTCTTCTTCTGCGCATGCGCACCGGACCCCTCCTTCCTGGGGTGGGATCCTCTAGGCCAATTACAGCTCATCAATCAGCACGACACTAGAGCCTGGATCAGGCGCGTTCACGCTCAGGCGCACGAGGAGTTCGTGCTGCAATAAATAAAGTTTATTTAAATATAATGAGAGTAAAATGTGAGTTTAGATCATGACATGTTTCCATATATGCACACAGTACTGCCTGTGAGTGTGCTATATATATAATGTTTGAATTCTCAGTGTTACAGCAGCAGCAGCGGGGTGGGTTCAGGCAGCCTCAGCTGCTTCTGTCTATTCATGCAGACATACTGAATGATTCAGGGCTCAGTGGGGGCCACACAGGGCTCAGTGGGGGCCACACCATCACTTCCAGGACTCTTCTTTCAGCTGAAGATAGTTGTGAGTGACCCTCACTGTGTGTTTGTTGTCATGTTGCAGAGTAAATCTAGGGCCAGTCAGGGGCCTCCCTAAGGGCACTGCATGATGGGTAAGTACCTGTAACAGTTGTATTCACATTCTTCCAATAAGGCCTCAGTTTAGTGCGGCTCCAGAAAACAAGAGTGTGGTCGGCCTCCACGTTGGCACTTTTACTCTGCTATGAGGAGTCTAAACTATCCTTCGCTACAAACGTTTTATCAGAACGTCTACATGTACACGCGGAGGTCATCCAATCAGATGCTCCTCGATGTCCCCAGATCCAGGTTAAAAACTGAAGCCTTTTCAGTGCTCCTAATCTTTGGATACTCTACCTGTTGAAATAAGAACTGGCGCTCTCAGATCGTTGCTAAAGACCCGTCTCTGTTCACTGGCCTTCACACAGAGCTGCGTGTTGACGTTATTGACCTTTCCTGCTGTGTTTGTCGTGTATATCTGTTGTGTATTCTGAACCTGGAAGGCACTTTGGTCAACTAGTGTTTTTAAATGTGCTATATAAATAAACTTGAACTTGAAATGTGGCAACATTAATTGGCACATGAACAGGCTTTCCAGTGCTGTAACATTTATTATACTTTTAAAATCTACTGTAGCATGGCCTCTTTCATTGAGTAGTCCTGTAAGTATAAAGAAATATTGGTTTTCCAGCCCGGATTTCACCTTCAAGAAGCTCACACATGCCCCATGTTCTCTGTCCACAGTTTGAACTTTAGGTCAGTTACCTCAGGTTTGAGTTTCAGGTCATTTCCAACTCAGTAAATAACTGTGTAAATGTTGTTATTGGGTCTATGATCACAGCTCCTGTCTTTCTACACTACATCTTTCAATCAACCGAGATGAACCAGTGGGCCGGAGGTCTTTATTGTGCCGCGTAGAAATATTCAAATAGGTTTGGTAGTTTTGTAGGACTGCGGCCAAGTTAGCAAGAATAAATATACAACATCCAGTCAAGTTAGAAATATATGCAACATTAGACTATCAAAATAAAACTAGTGGTTAATGTTGTGAAACGGCGCCATTTGGTTGGTCAGAATCAGAATGCTTTATTGATCTCAGAGGGGAACTCTTTGTCACAGATACTCACTTGGCATAAAAGGAATAGAAAACATGATAGAATTTGGTAAATAGAGAAAGTGTAAAAATCTAAAATTAAATGATAAGACGTGTGGATATTTACAGTAGTATGCAGTATTAACAGAGGCGTAATGATAAATAGCAGAAATGAATAAATATTGAATAAATATTGTAATAATAATGAATATTAATGAGTGCTGGTTGTGATGAGTTGGAACGGATTAAAAATCTTTGACTGAATACCCAAAGTAATGAAACAGAGAGTGTTGCACATGAGTATTACAACACAGAGTATTTCACCATATTTCAGTTATTGCACTGCAAGTTACTGAGTAAGAGTCCGTGTGTCAGACGCTCTAAGGGAGGAGTTAAAGAGTCTGATGGCCACGAGCAGGAATGACTTCCTGTGGCGCTCTGTGGTGCATTATGGGGGATGAGTCTGTCACTGAAAGTGCTCCTGTCTTCAAGGAGCGGGTGGGAGACATTGTCCAAGATGACATGTAGTTTGGACAGCATCCTCCTCTCTGACACCACCAACAGAGAGTCCAGCTCCACCCCAACAACGTCACTGGCCTTGGATCAGTTTGTTGAGTCTGTTGGCGTCCGCTACCCTCCACCATCATATTGGTGGTTAGGTTTAGGAAAAGATCATAGTTAGGGTTAAAATAAATATGTGAGTTACATAACTTATGTTGTATAACAAAATAAATCAATGATGACCTATGTCTAACTCTAACCCATCCATCCATCCCAACCAACCCTCTCTCCGACTTTTCCATCACTAACCTGTTAGTGTTTAACACTGATACTGAAGAAAAAAAGATTGGTACAATATTCACACTCCTGGATTCTAGAGCTGAAGGGGATTCTGGACCTTGAGAAAATGAATCAGCAGGTAGAAACCTTTATCAGGACTCTATAAGAAGAGAATAACATCATCTGCAAAAAGCCAAACAATGTCTTTACATTCATATCTATTCCCTTTAGATTTTCATTCCAGCTCATAGCTTATATCTAATCTTGTCTTATTAGATAAATATCCATTCACCTTGATCCTGGCAGTCAGTTTCTGATATATACAGTAAGTTTTAATGCACTGGAATAGATTGCTGTTTTAACCCACATTTGTCGAAATGTTTAAAAAAACTCAGCTTCCTTCTCTTAGGATCCAGTTCATCCAGATGAACTGTAAAATAATATCAAAACAACCAACAGGGGACATTGTCTGTTTTCACTCGCTTTTATTTAGCAAAGGAGGAGGAGGAGAAGCTGCATCACAGCAGTAACAGAACAACATGCTAAAACACAGAGTGCAAGAAAACAAGAAGATAACAGCTGACTGCCGTTACGTTATTATGAAGCTGTCAGCTGCATCAGTAACAGAACAACATGCTAAAACACAGAGTGCAAGAAAACAAGAAGATAACAGCTGACTGCCGTTACGTTATTATGAAGCTGTCAGCTGCATCAGTAACAGAACAACATGCTAAAACACAGAGTGCAAGAAAACAAGAAGATAACAGCTGACTGCTGTTACATTATTATGAAGCTGTCAGCTGCATCAGTAACAGAACAACATGCTAAAACACAGAGTGCAAGAAAACAAGAAGATAACAGCTGACTGCTGTTACATTATTATGAAGCTGTCAGCTGCATCAGTAACAGAACAACATGCTAAAACACAGAGTGCAAGAAAACAAGAAGATAACAGCTGACTGCCGTTATGTTATTATGAAGCTGTCAGCTGCATCGTGGTAATTGGGATGGGAGTAGGATGCAGTGTTTTTGGACTCCAGATTCATTAAAAACTGGAGAATTAAAAGTTTCAGAAGCATGAAGAACCAAGCAGATTTATTTCCCCCACACAAGACTGGACTGTGGTCTGATCTGGACTGAGAGTCAGACCCAGTACCAGGTGAGGTTCAGTGAGGACTTTACAGTGCTGCTGGTTTTGTCTCGCCCCCCTACCAGCTGCCGCTGATTCTAACAAGGTGAGCCGGTCTGCAGTACTCGACCAGCAGGGTGGGACATCCTGTCTGCAGTACCGGACTCCACCAGCAGGGTGGGACATCCTGTCTGCACCTTCTCTGAACATCAAACTCAGCAGCAGCTAAAAATACCAAATGTCCTCAAAACATATCTGACCAATAAAACTATCAGGAATACAAATGTGGCACAAACAGGAAGTGATGTCATGGCATGTTGTTCTGTTACAAACAGGTGAGGAGCTGTTCTTAAATCTGATTGGCTGACAGGGGGACGCATTTAGTATATTCTGGACTACATCTAGACTAAAGCTGGACTAACCTGTAACTACACCTGACCTGAACCTAGCCTACATCTGGACTAAATCTGAATCTGGTCTGGAGCTGGACTACACCTGGGCTAAACCTAGCCTACATCTGGACTAAATCTGAATCTGGTCTGGAGCTGGACTACACCTAGGCTAAACCTAGCCTACATCTGAATCTGGTCTGGAGCTGGACTACACCTGGGCTAAACCTAGCCTACATCTAGACTAAATCTGAATCTGGTCTGGAGCTGGACTACACCTGGGCTAAACCTAGCCTACATCTGAATCTGGTCTGGAGCTGGACTACACCTGGGCTAAACCTAGCCTACATCTGAATCTGGTCTGGAGCTGGACTACACCTGGGCTAAACCTAGCCTACATCTGGACTGAACCTGAGCTACACCTAACCTTCACCTGAACTGAACCTGGGCTACACCTAGCCTACATCTGACCTGAACCTGGGCTACACCTAGCCTACATCTGACCTGAACCTAGGCTCCACCTGACCTACACCTGGACTGAACCTTGGCAAAACCTTGACTGTACCTAGACCATACCTAAGCTATACCTAGCCTACATCTGGACTGAACTCACACTGAACCTGGTCTGGAGTTGCACTACACCTAGCCTACATCTGGACTCAACCTAGGCTACACATGGTTTACACCCGGACTGAACCCGGGCTTCTACACCCAACCTGAACCTTGGCAAAACCTTGACTGTACCTAGACCATACCTAAGCTATACCTAGCCTACACCTGGACTTAAACTAGCTAAATGTGGGGCTACACCAGGCCGGGTCTGCACAGCATCTGGACTTCAGACCTGCTGCCACACGAGGTGGTTTTCTCGAGAGCTGGATCAGGTCTGACAGCTGCCTCAGGAAGCAGTTTGTCACGACAGAAGTGAGGATGAGAGATACTGGATTTGATTTATTCAGATCCACTTCAGTCACACGGGATCCAGACCTGCGAAAGAGGAATAACAGGTGCGTTAGAGGATGGGAGGGGTGTTTAGTAGAGTGGGAGGGGCCTAATGTATGATGGGAGGGGCTTGCTACCTTTAACTTTGTTACATTGGCGGTACTGACAGGACAGGCGGGTGAGAACCCAACGGAGCCGGATGACAACTAACCCG